TCTTTTCATTGGCCGTTGACCAGCTTTCCGAATTACCCCGCAACCCCAGATACGTGAATACGAGCGACGGACAGGTCAATTGAAGCATTGAGGGGCATTGAAGCTGAAGGTGTAAACACGAGGACGGGAGGGGGGGACGCGAACCGGCATGTCCCGGCCGCCCTGATGTGTGTGGTGTCCTCCGGTGGAGAGTGCATTCGAAAAAGACGGCCACAATTTACTTAGGCCCCTCGAATCAAATTGCGAATCTTCAAAAGGACCGTCCACCCCGTTTCACTTTTATTTAACTCGGTTTTATCTCTGTAAATCGCATAGCCCGTGGATGTTAAATCTTGACTACTAAATCTCAGGAAATTGAAGATTAAAGAGTGAAAGGCTGAAAGGGCTTTATGTCCGCGGGTCCTTTAAGATACCGGACTTCCCGAGTTCCCGATATCTTATTCCGCCATCATATCGCCTCATTGTTGCAATGTGGACAAAGCTTCGTCTGTACCAAAATTGCACCCATTTTAAAACTTGATTTATTAAAAAATCGGCTTCAAGAGTAGGCACATTATTCAATACACATAAACGTGATGACTAAAGCAAGCAAGTCTCATCATGGTAAAAATACATGCTTTATTATTAACTCTCATATTTTTACTTTATTTTAAAGGCTAATTCCAAAATGTTCCTAAAAATTCTATAAAGTCAATTATTGCTCCCAATATCATCTTGTCTATTAGGCTAGATACGAGAGATAATAGTAAAAATATTTTTTTTATAAATATCTACGTGTTTTTTTTAACACCGTGTAAAATACCGTAATCAGGCACCTCAAGGAGCAACTGCCCCACAATACCGTCTGGCGAAGCGCACGATTTCATGTGAAGGAAGCGTCGGTGTCCGTACGGAACTCGCTGATTTCTCTCGCGCTTATTTGGGAGAAAGGCGAGGGGGCCCAGCGCTAACTAGGGTCGCACTAATCAATATCCCCCCTCGGCCCGCGGCCTCCCTTCTACGCAGCTTCTATTCGGAAACGGCCACAACAACTGGCCACGGCTACTATTCGGGTCCTCAACCTTTGCACTTTCGTACAAACTCCCAAGACCTACATAGAGTCGTCTATGTCCCAAGGTTACGTATGATCTCGTTTTAATATTTCTCGAGAGGAGAGGTAATTGTTTCACGGAACGCGGTAGCCGGGTTATTATTTCGGTAATGATAGCTTTCATGTGTGTTTTTGTGTTGGAGAGAATCATCGTCTCTTTGTTGCTCCTCAAATTCCAGATGGTTCACACACTTCGATGTCAACACTCTCTTTGTCCGGGTAATCGAAAGTACCTTCTTCATCGGTTTTGCCTTGGAGGTTTAGGTAGTCCGATGAAAGGCTATGGCTTAACAACTCTGAAGAGAAAGTGTATTTTGAATTGGAAAGTTTCACATTTTGGGAAACATTTTTTAAACGGTGTAGTTCAAAGGGTTCAAAGCGTAGGTGGGTTTCCAAGTCTCAGAGGAATTTTCGTGTGTATCTCGAAAAGTAAAGGAGTTGCGAGTAAACCGAGATCATCTTCAAATTTGTCATACCCGATTTACTGTTACAAAATAACTGAAACAAAATTGCAAAAAACAATTCCTTTGGCGACTTCTAGGCGGATTTATTTTGTTAGTTAAAAAAAAACAATATAGTCCATTTATGCTAATTACTTGCAATGTCATAGTGCGAATTGGAAGTGTTGCCAAATTATTACAATTGTAACCTAGAACCACAGATTATGAACTTCATTTAAAAAATTTATTTAGATTTGGAATTGTGTAATTATGATTATTCCAGTTAACATTTTCTAGAGTAAGAAAACAATAATAGGGAATAAAAACATGTACATATTTTTAACATTTATTTCTTTACATTCGATGACTTTGACTTGGATCTTCTTCATACTCGCAGTACTTTGATCTTACCAAGAACCTCCAACAGTACATGTTTCTTTAATGTCTGTGTATGTGTAATGTATGTTTCATCCTGGAAAATGAACTGACTTGTGCTTTTCTCTGTAAAGGCGGATTTACACGATGCAATTTGGATGTACATCGAGGATTATTCATCACTGATGAAACAATGTAAATAACATTTCATCCAAGATAAACAGTTCTGCCTTTAAACTATCGGTTTCACCTTAGATGAATCATCCTGGATGTAGATCCAAATTGCATCGTATAAATTCGCCTTAAGTCTAAAGGTTCACTTATATTTGTCACTTTTGATGATCATCTTGGAGATGGTTTCACCCACCAATGTCTTTTAGTACGTTTAGTTGTTGATATAATTGAATTCAGTTCATGTATCAGTCCACGTGACATTAAGTCAGAGCTTCCGCGCATAGTTTTTGTATTCCTTCTTGAACGAGACATCCTGCCACCTGGTACCACAACTAGTTGTTCTTTTACTTTTCACAGACACGAAATAGGAACTGTTACAGTGTGCAGAAGGTGAAACCAACCAACTGGATGAAAATATGTAAACGACTAAAACCCCTCCAAGTTTTCTCTGTTTCCTCGCCGGGACCGTTTATCACAATACTTCAGCAAAGATAAATTGCCCTTGTCCTTGCTCTTATTAGTTTCTTTAATTCCCCCTCTCGTCGACTTCCTTCTTTTTCATAATCTTGTTAAGATAGTTTGTCGCCTCCTTCCACTTCTCTTCATTGTCAAGCATTTTTCCACCATATTGCCAGGACGTAGATCTTCATTCGGGCATAGTTGAGTCTCGTTCTCTCGTGCGTCCATCTTTCACATACAAAGAGGGTATGTTCTGGGGTATCTTACTCAGCACAGTATGCAAACCTCATTTGGTGATTTTTCAATCCTATAATATGTATATAACTTAAAACATCCTCGGCCAGTCAAGATTTGTGTCAAGTGGAAATCCAATGTGCCATGCTTTTTGCTATACCACTATCTTATATTAGGGATCAGCTTTCGCATGAATATATGTAAACGAAGACGATTGCCCTGGATGCTTTCACTCTGAGTGACTCACTTTGGGTGTACACCAAAAGTGATACAGTGTAAATCCTGCTTTACATATTCATGTAAAGAATGTACACGCCTCATTGGAATGGTAGGTAGCTTCATTAATCCACGACGTGGATCATCTTTGCAATATTAAAATCCTAATAATTTGACAATTTTCCTCAGCGATGTTATGCAACCATTGAAGAGATTCTGTTCCTGAAGGTTTTCTCGTAAAAATTTCAAAGAAATATGTTGAAAGCTGAATATTTTGAAAAAATTCTTCTATATCTACAAATTAATTTCGATTTATTTGCAAATTGGAAATGAATTGAATGAAATGTAGGCCAATCAGGAGTAATTTTTAAGTTTTTGTCATCAAATTTACTAATAAATAATATTCCCTTATTTAAAATTCTTTCAAAAAAAGTCCTTCACCCACAAACTTTTGTCTGTATTTCGGAAGTTGAAAATCTACTCTATTCTATAGTTCGGCATTTTAATTGACTTATTTTGTATATAATTGTAAAATATGTATTATTATTAAAGTGTAAGCTACTGAAATATATTACATACGATTAAATCTGAGAATAAAGCCGTATAAAGGAACAGATTAATTTTTTTAACGTTATATTCGATTTTTTTTAATATTAAGGTACCTAAGTCTGGTTTCCGTCTTTCATCAACAATTGTTGTTGAATATTTTAAACTACAAAAACTTAAAAAATAAATAAATATCTCGTAAAAAAGGGACAAATTAAGTAGTTTTGCACCAATACAGCATAAAGATATTATGGCGAACAAAAATAGGAAAATATATCGAACTGAAGCAATACAATACAAAGCAATTATATATGATAATAGACCCAGAAACAATTTGAAATGTGTTTTCCAAAGATTGAATATTCAAAATCTAGTGAAACGCAACGTAATAAGTGTAAAAATTCGAAGATTTAAACACAATAGTCGATATATTTAAATACTGATATTTTAAATAATAGATATACAAGTTTTAACACAAATTGTTTATTTTATAGAAATTGTACTGCCCAATATTGCAAAGCATATGCGATTTATATGAAATTTTGAAATACGCAAATTCAGGATATAATCTATTGGTATTTTAAAAAAAATAATAATCAACCGAGATAATCGGTTTAATTTTTATAAATAAATAATTGTATGATGTTTTTTACACGCTAAGTACAATTTTTCCAAGCAACAGTCTTTTATCCACTAATATCCAAGGTCTTTTATTATCTAATCCAGCGGTATCCAAACTGTGTTCCGCGTCCGCGCAACCCTGGGGTTCCCCACAACCTCTCTGGTGGTTCCGCGACTCAGCCAAAAATACAATGCGCTTAATGCAGAATTTGGAATGCTATTGCAACTTGCGGCAATAGCACCTGATTTCAACAAATCTAAAAATATTTAAGCACATCCCAGTCATTGATTATATTTACTCTTTTTTTTAATTATTCAACAAATATTTACTTTAAATTTTAAAGTCTTAGTTTAATTTTTACTTAATGGAATATTTATTTTGTTAATCGTAGTACATATTTATAAATATATTAATAATGAGTAAAAAATGTGTTCGAAAATTCTTGGAGGTGTGGGGCTTCCTCAAAAAAATCGAAATGTTGGCCAGGTTCTGCAAGTCGCAAAAGTTTGAAGACCGCTGATCTAATCCATAAAAATGATCCCGCTACTAATTCTATATCTACGCCACTGATTATTTTATTTATTTATTATAAACTATGTGCCGGTATCTGTTTGTTACATAAGAAATGCCTAATACTAGCAAAGAATGGTGTGATTTTTATATATTTTGTTATTTCTAACTAAAAATTTTGCAGATTTACATCAAATCTTAAGTTCACCCAAAATTCAACACCAAAGTAATTTCACTCATAAATAGGTATCTTGTTTCATTGTGAAAATTCGAGTAATTACTCCCGCCGCGCCTAGCCACAACCACAATAATAAAAATTTATGTCTGCTTTCAGGGAAGTTATGGCTAAACGAACCAGAGATGACCTGGCGGCAGGAGATGCCGGTGCCGTCGAGCGAGGAGTCAAAAATCGCGCTCCAAAGTCGACTGGGCCTCTCACCGAGTAAGTATACACCCGAAATCGATCCGGGAAAATTACGTACCGGACGCGGGCTCGCGTCAAATTTAGAGAGGATTTTTCGTGCCGAACGGAGATTTATTAACTTGCTTAGCAAAACACTGGAATCCCATTCCGGGGAGAAGCTCGATACGGACATCATCGATTTTCGGGAACATACCCCATTGACAGATTATTAGCGCGACTGCTGAGTCACCCCTTCTGCCTGTCACATGTTGATTCTGGCATTGTCATCGAAATTCATGGGCTACCTAGATCGCCTGGATTAGACTCAATAAGTATTGTCTACAGGGTGTTACAAATTACCAGATTAACTTTTCGAACAAATATGTCAGCGAAAATAATACAACTTTCATTGTCATTTTTAATTTTCGAGATTCACTAAATTCAAAAAATATTCCCAAAATTCTATCAAATGAAGTAATTCCAAATCCTGGTTTGATAAAAAAAATAATTTATTTAAACTTGGTTAATATGACATTTAATTTTCTATATTACCTAAAATATACAGTATGTGCCATTTAACACTCCCGCTACAAATATCTCCGAAATGAAGAAATTTATTTTAGTTCCGGAAACTGGGGTTGTTAGGTCCCTCGAATAGCTTCTGGTTAGAAAATAACTAGAAAATTCTAGTTAGAACTGTTAGTTCAAATCTTTCTGTATAGATGGCGTGACGATACTAAAAATTTTTTTGGTACGTGCAAATGCAGTCCATCTGAAAGATCTTTAAATTTTGAGTAATTTTTGTAATATAAAGTTTTTCCCTATATTTACTTGTTTTCGAGATATGTCGACTTCAATATGCAATGTATGATGTAACAGGAAAATTTATTACTTTATTTAAATCAGTCTGACAAAATATTCTTTTAAAATATTGTTATAATGGCTTTATTCACATCACATACTAACTAGCAAACAATAAATTATAAAGAAAAACAAACGAATGATCAACTACAGAAAAAAAAAATGTACAATAGTAAATTTTATAAGGAGCAGAGACGAACCGTATTTTATCAAATTTTATTAAAAAGTGCAGTCGTAGGTGGCTCATGTCATTTGTTTAAAATAAAATACGTATTACAGATGACACATATTAGTTTTCAAATACCTAATTAGTTTTATCAGCTTACGTCTTTCAATTTAATTATACTAGTTATAAGATTAACTATTGTACAATTTTTTTTCTGGAGTTGATCATTTGTTTTTTTATAATTTATTGTTTGTTGGTTAGTATGTGGTACGGGTAAAGTCATTATAACAATATTTTAAAATAATATTTTGTCTCGGTGTGATTTAGATAAAATAATTATCCTGTTACATCATACATTGCCTATTGAAGTCGACATTTCTCGAAAACAAGTAAATGTTGGGAAAAACTTTATATTACAAAAATTACTCGAAATTTAACGATCTCTCAGATGGACTGCATTTCCACGTTCTAGGGATCAAAAAATTTTTTAGTATCGCCACGCCATGTATACAGAAAGGTTTGAACTAACAGTTCTAACTAGAATTTGAAGCTATTCGAGGGACCAGACAACCCCAGTTTCCGGAACTATAATAAATTTCTTAATTTCGGAGATATTGGCAGCGGGAGTGTTAATAGGCACACCCTGTATAGTGTAACTGACATGTAATTAAAACATATAATTCCTAATATACCCCGATATTGAATATTACTGCTGAAGTACATTATTACTTTCTGCCACATTATAACAAAGAAGAATTACAAAAAAGTCAAAATTACGATTTCTTTACAATATGGGCCATCTACACCATCTACATAAATAAATTGCCCGAACCAAAAGCAGTTAACCATATATTCTTATACTAAAATACCTAATAGGAGTTTTCTTATGTCAGTTTTCATTTCGGAGTCCCATTTTCAAAATACATTATCAAAATTAAAATTTTAAAAATGATTTTTATTGATAACTTCGGTGATTGTAGAGATATTTATTTGAAATTTAGCACATATTTTAATCTTAAGTCGGCACACTTTTTGTGTAATTTTGGTTTAAAATATCAAGCACGATCGGAGGGGAGGGGAGTTGCAGTACCCATGTACGCCCTGTTTTTTTTAAGCACGCCTATGCTTTCCGAATATTTTTTTAGATAAAGCGGATTTATTTTAGTTTTTCACTCTTGTAAGATTTTTATTTGAAACGTCGTTTACGAGATATTCTATTCTTTTTGGATACACCACATCAATTTAGTCGACGTTAGACTTTAATTTTTGGTAGGATTTTATGAAAAATTTCTATTATATGGTATAATAACTAAACAACAGTACATGAATGAACTGTACGAGGTAAAACACTTTAGGTTAAAACCACATATTTTGATTTGGGGCTTGTTGTACAAGAATCGTAATTTTTTTAGATATGTTAGATTTATCCCAAATTAAATATCACTGATCATGATGATGATCATTTCCATTTTATTCAATAAATTGAAATAAATAAGACGACTCACATCTTTCATATAGCCCCAAAAGTTACAATATCTAGTAAATGAGATCCCAAATAAAAATCTTAAAAGAGTGACTGAACTTGAATAAAACGCCGCTTTATCTAAAAAAATATTCGGAAAGCATAGGCGTATTAAAAAAAAAATAGGGAGTCAATGGGTACTGCAACTCTCCTCCCCTCCGTTCGCGCTTGGATATATTAAACCAAAATTCACAAAAAGTGTGCCAAATATGTGCTAAATTTCAAATAAATATCTCTACAACCACCAGACATCAATAAAAAATCATTTTACCAAGTATCCTTTTCTCCAAAATAAAAAATATTTCCTTTTATTGATTCAAACTCAAACCATGGACGTACGTATTATACTTATCGGTAAAAGGCAAGAACGGCGCCGCGGAATTCCCACTTTTTGTATTTCGTGCACAAAAAAGCTATTTATTTATTTAAAGAGATGTTATAATTTCATAAACCAAGGCGTAAGTCAAAAATTTTTAACCAAAATTGCTCCAAAGTGAGATAGTATAACCTTACTAAAATGCGCAAATTTTCAACAACAGTTATTAGCAGATATTAAAAACAATTTTTAAAATTTAACATTAACACTCTGTATCTCAAAAACGGGGAGAAAATTAAAATTGACATAACGGAAATCCTGTCATTTTCGCACAGGAAATCACTATCTAATAGTTGACCTGGTAATTTCACCCTGAGGAAGGCTTAAAAAACGTTGACGAAACGTCGCCGCTTATAAAATATTAATTTTCGCATTGACATTTGTTCCAAACCCAACAGAAATCGTTAAGAAAACATTTTTTTACTCTATTCATGTATTTCTTTGAGTGATTACACAGAAAACACCGTCCGTTTTCCCCGTAAAACTGTTTCTTCAAGCATCAGCCCTTGCGAAGACAAATATGAAATCTAGTTACAATAAAAGCACTTGCGACCTCCGCCGGAGTGTATTGGGTCAGTCGCCGTCGAAAACGGCCTTTCAACTCGAGTATAATTCGATTTAAATAAGAGAAAGTCTCCTGCAGGGGGTGGGGACGAACGCTAGGAGGGCAATCTGAAATGGAGGGGCAAATGGAGCACGCCAGACGTGAGAATTCGATAAAGATTGACTGTTTTAACACCCTCTCGCAGTTCTTTAAAAGGGACGGCCCTTCTGAGCCCCCAAATCCTTTTACTTGAATCTACATTTCTATCGGAGATATTATTCCGGGATTGATTACAACCGATTGCTAATCGACGGAGGCGTTTATATAGCACGTTTGTTATGTTCTTATTATGTGGGTAAATGGAAATGCAAAAAGCTTTATTTTAGGTAAAAACTATTCACAAACATTTAAAATTATTTATCTACAACAGTGAGGTGAACAGGCATTATTTTACGCGTGGAAAATTGTATATCACCGCACGGAGTGCGGAAACTGCCAATTTAAAAAATGAATAATACTAAATTAATTTTTTAATTGAAGAAAATGAAAGAATATAAACAATCTAAAACACATATATTTTAATATATGGTACAGATTCGCTAAAGGATGTCTAGTAGAGGAGATTGTCGAGTATCCTGCTACCGCTGATTCCTTAATTTGAATAGTTTTTTAACCACCCTGGCTATTCCAGTTTCGTTTTTTTTTTTACCGAATCGATCACATATCTCTCTACTACAGCAGACGACTTCAGGTCAGTTTCTAAGTCATAAGATCTCCTCCGCCATCTGCCGATAGCATTGCGGACGTCCGTCTAAAACAGTGCCTTGTGTAGGTTTTAAGACCTAGTAATATCAGGCTTGGTATTTTACCAATGGAATTTATTCCAGCAAGTTGATTGGTACACCTCCAAATTCAGATTATTGAAATTCTAAATGTTGTCTTTTATATGGGCATGGCATCCATCCAATATCAACATTTATTTTCGACTCTGTCATAAGATTTTCAGGATATACTCTATGTATTTTTATTCTTCTTCGATTCAGAAAGAAATGGCCTGTAAAAGTTTCTTGAAATATAGAAACTGAATGAATATTTTCTGATGCGGAAAAACACTTCTGCAATATGAGCTGGTGTATTTATCGTTACAATAGCGAGAAAATACATATAATGCTCAAGCGGCCCAATCTTGCATATCTTTGTTTTTACACAAAATCTTTCGAAGAGAGTATAAAAAGGAGATAAACGACCGTGCTTTAGTCAATCATTTGAAACAGAAAGTTTTAACGACTATCCCTAATAGAGCTACATCGTTGAAAATTAGAACATCAAAATCAATCGACTTGACATAATGGCAGATACTCCAGAACAAGGTTTAAGTGTTCCAGAATAGGACGAGATTCAAAACAGGATTAAAAAACTGGGAAACTATAAACACTAGTTCGCCCTGACACGAAACATTGTAAACTATATTCATTAATAATGAAGTTAATGAACATTGTTCGCGAACGATGTTTTGGTATGTTAGTTATCTTAGTTAATAGATAATTGAAATGAATGGCCTTATTAGCAG